CCCCCGCGCAACAATAATGAATAGAACAGCGGTTGAGAATCTCTTTGATCTTTGTCAATTCTTGATGTCTCTATCAATACCCTATTTAGCATGCTGAAACATAGCAAACAACCTGCTGAAAACGAAATAATAAAATTTAACATTTTGAGAATAATTTTACTATTACAAAACTACTGACATAATACGTGTGTGAAAGATTAAAAATGAGGTAATTAGAAAAAAAATCCAGTTGAACTCTCCGCGTTACCCTCTGCCTTTCTACTTTCAATTTCATTTCTGTATGTTCTCCTTTTTCATCATAGCTTCCCAACAGAAGAACCAATGGCCTGATCTTAACTGACACTCAGTCCCTCTGCAAGGGACTGCTTGGCAACAGCTCGGACATAAATGATTTTCGCCGCAGGTTCAGTGAAACCACAGCAACAATAAAGATCCAGTGGATTCCAAGCCATGTGGGAATCAAAGGAAATGAGGCAGCAGACCAAGCTGCCAATGAAGTCAAAGAGATTGAAGGAGACAGACAACCAATAACATACAGGGGAGTCTTTCAGATGATCAAAAGGGGAATCAGAGACCCGCCATGCAGAGCTGAGTACCAGCGTCTGGAGGATGTGTATTCTGGGTACTCCAATAAGTAGGAACAATCAATCACATGTCGGTGGGACCAGGTTGAGCTAGCGAGACTGCGGTCGGACCATCACTGGAGCATGCGATGGTATCAGAACTTTGAGAGTGAAGCGCTCAGCACACGTTGCCGAAGATGCAACCATGAAAAGGAGGCTGTCAAACATGTTTGAATGTCCAGGAACAATGACAACTCGAATGGAGTTATTTGGACGAGTGCCTCTAAGTATAATAACAAAGGAGCCGAAAAAGAGCCTCGCTCTCGCTCGAAGATTTCTTCGTGGAGTCCACCAGGCCCATTAAGGAAACAAACGAAAAATAATTATCACCACTACTGTTGTTCACATGTAAGAATTGTTTTGTTGTGTTTCTAATATGGCACGTAGTTGCCTGACAAAGACATAGAACCCGGAAGACTAAATGAACCGTGAAGCAGTGGGTTCTGGCCAGCACTATGTAACATTTTGCCACTATAGATGCTGCTATTATTTTCCTGTTACTACCGTTGCAAATGATGTCTTTCCAAATGGTTACCCTTTTATAGAAGTTACGTATATTATATGGAAAAGAAAAAAGACACAATAAAAGAACCATGTACACGGGGGACAAAGATTATGTCAAATATGTACCACTGGTTCAGTAAGAAGGCAGAGTAAAACCAGATAAGGGACACATAAGAAAACATTGTGAACATTTTGCCTACCACGTCAGCCATATGGGGTGAAGCTCCTCGAGTCAAGAGAAGGTCTATGATGGTGTATTTCCGGGATTTGGCCGCCACTATTAGGGGCGTTTCGCCGTTCTGCAGGGAGAGAAAAAGAGATACGAGTTTGATTAAAAGAAAACACAATCAACACAATAAAGACCTTTTGGTGCACGAAAAAGGCAAGACAGAGAGCAGCAATAAAGAGAAAAAAAAGTAATAGAACCTACCAGTGACGTCCTCGATTCCAACCTCCAACCCAAAGAAAAGATAAAAAGACTCCTTATCTGCACTCTGTGTTTACAACTCTTAAGTATAATGATGTGCATAACAGCGCTGGATATCACATCACAGAAGCCCCGAATACAGCATTCAAAATAGGGCACTTCCAAACCCTTCACTTTCCTAAAAATTAAATACGTCATCAAATGATATACTATGACAGCATGTTGAACAGTTTTTCCTCGGCGTTAACACGGAGATAATAATTATGTGTTATCAAGGTTGTCTTTCAACCCAACACACAAAAAAGTGAGTTCGATTCCAACGAGCAGAGTCAAAGCAGCCCCTTCCTAAATGGTCTATATCATTTTTCCGACTATTTTTTTGCGTGAGAGGGGAAGGGTGGGAAAGATTGACAATAAACTTTCATTCCTCTTGTTCCAGCACTGGGGGCTGGGATCCATTCCCACGCGTCTGTGTAACACTGGGACGATAAAAAATAGTCAAAAATCCATACACCCTTCGCCCCCCCCTCCCTCCCCAATTCCATTCAACATACGTATTATACATAAGTGTATGCATAAAACCATACGTACAAAATCACATAATATTGTAGTATGACACATTGATACATCTTGTATTCATACATGTTTGTATTTATGTTTTATGCATTGCAAACCAAGTTTCCCACACGGGGTTAATAAAAGTGGAAGTTTTTATTGTAAAATATAATGAAATACAAACAAAAAGTCAATTTGAGTATGACGTACCTCATTCAAACAGTTGACGTCTGCGCCAATGTCTAGGGAATCCACAATGTCTGACGTACGACCGATCTCTACGCCAGAGAAGAGTCTTTTCACCGCCCTTTCAATCACATGACTGAAAATTTAGTATAGAGAGAAGCTTATCATTACTCCGAAAGTAGAAGTACTTAGGGGGTGGGGTGGAGGTGGGTAGGGAAGGGTTGTTTGATAAACAGAAAATCAGAAAAGCACCGATACTTAGCTGTGTACCCCCCTGATCTTTAGTGCAGATGACTGAAGTTTAAATCTTCAGAGTGGGTTTTGTAAATTAAAAGGCAGTACAAACATCTTGCCCGGAATGAGTCCTTGATTAAATGAACGGACCACAGTTGGGTATTACTTCGTCTTTTTCTTCAAGTGTTAGATCTGAAATAAACTTCAGTGATCAAGGGTCGCCACCTATTTCTCTGCTTGGTTGGTGTTACAGTCGTACAAAAAGAAAGGAAAAAAAAATAGTTGAAACTTCCAGGCAAAATACGAAAATGTTCACTTTTCTCTCAGCAAAGGAATAAAATGAAACTTAAAAGCAGGCATTACAACATTGTAACTCACGAATCATCAGAGTGGTGCTTGGGTATCCTCAGTTTATCCAGGACCGAGATACCCCCTCTTTGAATTGTGCAAGGGTCGGATGACGTCACACTGAACATGTCGTCGAGCCCAGGAGAGTCTGAACGGGATTTTTCTCCATCAGTCTGGTCGTATTTCTGAGACAAAAGCAGCTGAAGGTTGGACAGCGGTACTGGTAGATGCTCAGAGATTATTAAAAAAAATTTGTCTTGCTTTCTCCCAGATAATAACAGATAGCATTTGTATGGCGCAAATTCCTGCTGAACAGCAAACGTTACACGTTTTACAGTCTATATTATTACCCTATTCTGAAACAATCTCAACTTCCTGGGAAGCGGACGGATGAAATGACTATCATTATTATGTGTCCATCTCTTATTTAGTCTCCAGTATACAGAAAAGACGAAAATTAACTCAAATCAGAAATGAAACAAAAGAAAGTACAATAATCAAAATTTGGCGCTCCACACGAACAACAGTTTACCGACCTGGCCCTTCAGAAGATGTCCGCTGTTTTCCTCATCCACTGCCACCAGGAAGGCACGGTCAAGGTCATTCTGATTGACTCGGGAGCCTCGTTTCAAAATTGGACATCTCAGGACGCCAGAATGGAAGGACACAAGAGGCCCGTCAGCGCGGTCTTCAAACTCGACACCTTCAAAGTGGTTTTGAAAAAAAAAGAGAAAAAAATGCTAAAAAGCTTTGATACATTTTTCTTGCTCTACAGTTTTAGTAATGTAACTGTGTGAGACGTGAGCAGTTCATAGGACGCAAAGTGTTAAAGAAGCCAAAACGTTCTTATTGGTACCTAAGTAACCAGTCATCCTGTAGGTGGCAGATCTGCCAGGACCATGACTACCAACTATGCTTTCTGGAAAAAGCCTAAGACTGGAGTCATTTCAGTTCTAACGTGCAGAGAAAATGACAGAGGATTTGTTTACTTCAACTATATAAAGTGAACGTTTTGAGAATGTGGACTATATACGGAAAGTTGAAAATGTTGTTTTACAGTATTATTCGTAGCAATTAGTATTCTTGTCGCTCGTCACAAAGAGAGAAGTCATTGTTATATGGACAGAAGTGAACTTCATAAATACTCTAGGTGTTAGTTTTCGAGACTGAGGGGACTTCAATTGTTTCTTTTTTATATTTTGGAACATTATATTTTCCTAGGGCTTCTGAAATAAAAAATAAGTTGGGCACTCACGCGCGCGCACGTTTGTGGTGGGGTGGGGGGGGGGGGAGTATGTGTATGCGGGCGTATATCAATGCGAGTGTATTCTAGTTTAAATGTTTGAGAGATATTATATGACGTTGTCTTTTAGAACTTAGAAATGAGATTTTGGTGTGTAAGTCGTTACCAAAAGTATATGAAACAAATTAATAAACAAACAAACACAGAAATTGTGGTCACCTGTGAGATCCATTTTCAACTTGCGGGTCCCGGCTGTGCTTTGAGCCAGAATTCGGTTAATGGCCCCCTCTAGGGCTTTGACGGAAGCTTGTGTGGAGGAAAGGGAAGACACCTGGCGAGCCGTGGTCACTCTCTCCTGGAGAGACAAGCACACTAGTATAGTATGTATATCAAACTGGTTCATTTGCTGGCTACGATTCGCAGGAGATTGAATAACAAAACACTGTGTGTTAATGTATCAGTGTTAGCTATAAAACATTTACCAGGGGACCGTTCATTTGCTAATATGAAGTAAGGCGACCTGCTCCCACCCCCCTAAAAATCCCTTTCTTAAAGAATGTCGGTAGACTGCTAGTGTTGGCACAGACCATGTTTAAACACATACAATTATTATATTAAATCCATTGTGGCAATATAGGCATGCCTTATAAGATTATTTAGATATTACACTTATTTTTTTTTTGCCAAGCTTGAAAGTAGAGCAATATAATAGAATATTACGTATAGATTTGATACATCTAGCTAGACACATCAGTCTTTGTTTTAACGAATATTGCATTTACTGAGGCTGACCATTTTTCGACGAATACAATTTTATAGTCTTATGTGGCAAAAAGGACATGTCCTTCTTTACGTAATTAACCTTCCCACTCATCATCGATAACGCCAGTTCCACTACTACCACCATAGCATATTAACAACAACAACAACAACAACAACAACAACAACAACAATAACAACAACACAAATAAAAAACAAAAACAACAACAACAACAGCAACAACAATAACAACAACAACAACACCGATGGCACGATAATGTCGACTACACAACCAAAACTATTGTAAGTTTTGCGTTAAAGAGCAGTACCTCGACACGGTTCTTTACAACGAGGGAATTGGTAGACATACCAAACAAAAACAACAAGTATGGAAGCACAGCCTTAATAAACCCTCCCCCCCCCTTTCCAAAAAAGCAACAACAACCAATAAAACAAACGCACAAAAATACAACACAGACTTTAAAAAGGAACAAACAAACAAAAAACAAACAAATAAAAAAAAACCTAACAAAACCAAGAAAACAAAAGCAAACATGCAACTGCCAACAGTAAATCTGACCTAAAAACGGAACACAAGACAATGTATTGGGAACCTGGAATCGGATGTCGCTGGGTTCGATATTCCTACTCAGATTCTGAGCGAGCACGCTGGAGACACGCCCCTTCGCCTGCTGGAGGAACATGTTGCACAGAGCAACCAATAGCGCTTGGGGGTAGCCCTCTCCTGCTGTTGGTCCCGCCCACAGACCGCCCATAGGTAGAACATGAAGGTCCCGGTCAGAGAGAAGGTAAACATCGGCGTTCTCGTAGAACTCTTCGCCGCGGATCAGCTCCAGGGGTGCAGAGGGGATGGATGGACCAACGCTGGAAAGAAAAGAGGTTGACGAATCGTTATATGAGTTTAGCGTCCAAAGGCAAAAGACCTATTCTCCAAGGTGACTGGTAAACTCCTAAACTTAGACGTCCTAACTGTAGCATAGATAGCTAAGTTGGTACCACACTGAACTATAGTTTCGTTGCCCTTTGTTCAGATACCTAACTAGGTGAACTCGGATGTTTGATAAATTTTCAAAACTCTTTATCCACTAAGACAGGTCCTATCTGAGACGGTGTTAAAATCAGAAGCCTTACCTGTCAGATAACGTATTAATAGGAGCTTAAAACATACCATACTGAGCCCCTCTCCCCCTCCCCTCCGCACACAGCGAGGTGTGCGCTCTTGCCCAAGTGGTTACCTGAATGTTAGCTAAATCTTGTTTACTTGGTGCCATAGGACACAATTTAGATCACTCACAAGGTGGGCAGCTTTGACATCTACCATGTGGTAGTCATCAAGCCCTCAACTCACCCAAAACCCCCCAAAAGTGGGTAAAAGGGAAAAGGGCTTCAGTTAGTTGCAAAAAAGGTGAGACAAACCGTAAACAAATTAATTACTTGTTATAATTATTGTTTGTCCCCGTCCACCGTCTTTCATTCTTGTCTTTATTAATCCCTTATTTTTCTCTGAAGCATTTATCTCTATAATGTCAATCAATACACATACCTGATGGTCCCTATGTTGTTAAAAAGGGCCCTCATCAAATCCCTATCGCTCTCATCAAAGAGCATCAAATCTGTGACCTCACACAGCGTCTGATACGTTGCGTAGGCAACGAGTAATGGCTGACTGAGTCCCATTGCCGGAGGTGCAACGTTCTTCTGGACGAGGGTACCAAATTTTTCAAATATCACATTGAAACCTTTCTGTATACCCAAACTCCATGACAAAAAGTCGTAAGGTGGAAACGTTGCCGGCGCTTTTGTCACAGCAGTGCCAAAATCCCCTGATGCTTTCGGGCGTTTGGTTTTGTTCAGCTCCAAATCCATCTTTCGTGAGAGAGATTCGCTGAACGTAAGGCATTTTGACCGTGGGTTTGTGGACGAGATTTCTACGGTAATTTCTTCTGGCAGGTTGTTCAGAAGCGTGTCTGCCTCGGCAAGGGACGTAACCAAAAACGCTTTAGAGTTCATAACTATCAGCTGGGCTTTGTTCATCTGAGGATGTCTCAGTGTTTCGAAACAGTTCGAGCTCGGGATTTTTTCCCACACGCCCATGAGCCTGTACCTGGGTTGTTTGTGTAGATGGCTTTTTGACACGAGAGTAAACTCTGGTTTCTTACCCTTTTCTGTGACTCGGTACGCCAAATATTGTTGCTGATTTTGGTCTTTCGAGCTGGAAGAAGAATGAGGGCGGTGCTCGTACTGGCGAATCCAGCTGTAGACGCCGGATGGAGCGTCGCACTCTTCAATAAAATACAGCCCTAAACTGAAGGCTAAGTGCTTCAGGACACTGTCGATGTAACCAAAGGCAATGTTTCTGTAAATGGCCTCTCCAAACAGTTTGAGCAGTTCGTACGGGTGTGTCATTTGTCTTCCCTCTATGCGGCACAACAGTTCCAGAATGCTCTGACCAGCTAAAGGCAATTCTACAGGGTATCCGATCTCTTTCAGCAAGGAGTTTGTCGCTCTGTGACGACTGGCAGTTACATTGACCGAGCCAGCACGCCATTTCTTGCTCAGTTTGGAAACTTCAAGATCTTTGAAAAACTGGGCAGAGTCAAGTGGTGTCACTGTCCACGGTTTGTGTGTGATGGCGTATGAGTGGATTGCAATATTGAGAACTCCATCCTGGAGCTGAAGCCCCGCCTCTTCCTCTGACGTCACACTCTTTATTGACACGGCAGTGACATCAATTTCTAATCTCAGCATCGCTAAGTACTCATGACCAATCAAAGAGATTTGAGGGGCCAGGGCTGTTTCTGTAAAATGCAACAACGATTTCATTCTGTTCAAAAAGCTGAAGGATTTCCAGTCCACTGATAGGGTCACAGCAGGATGGCTCGGCCTAGAGTTCTGCAGCAATGAGTGGATGCCGTAGTGCAAGGAGATTGCCACACTGTGAAACATCTGGACCAGTAAGCTGAGTGTGAAATGAGCAGTGGTGTATCGCGGCCTGTAAAGAACGAAACAACCAATATGCTGACAAAATGGATAGCATTTTAAAACAGGAACACAGTTATCAGTTGTTTAGGCCTGCTTATTTATAGAAAGACTGACGAACGTTTGGTTTGTTGTGGGGGTGAGAGTAAATGTAGATGTTTGAATTTGATAAAAACGTATCTCTTGTGTGAAGGTTGATTGGATCTTCCCAAGTGCCCCGATGAATTGTGGACAAAGGCGATATGTAGAAAGGGAGGGGAGGGAGGGGCGCGCCACATTTAGACGCATAAACAGACACAAAAGTATACATATGGTCACGAAGAGAGAGAGGGAGAGAGAGGGGAGAGAGAGAGAG